AGTAGTACAAAACGCTGTTTGTTTGTTATTTCCGCTTATGCTCCCACCGACTGCAGTTCAAATGCTGTCAAGGACACATTCTATCATGAACTGAACCCGTTACTACGCAGTGCCACTAGTTTAGATGCCATAGTACTTGCAGAAGGTATGAACGCACAAGTAAAGCGTCTGAACTCTTCAGAAACTCAGCTAGGTGGTGACTATGGGCATAACTCCGAAATGACTGACAACGGCGAGTGTCGGTTGCAACGGTGTGCGGAGCACCAGTTGTTTCTGTGTAGCACTACTTTTAAACCCAGTGGGCGCCGAAGTGTCACTTCGTGTCCTCCTGTAGCTGGCCAGCGATGGATCTGAATAGATCATTTTGCCATAAGGTACCGGTGGCGTAGTTCCATCCTGGATTGCCGCTCGTACTGGAATACCTACGTCGACTCTGACCATGCCTTAGTACGCTGTCGTTTTTCCATGAATTTCACCGGGAGACGCCCAAAGGTCCCCTCCTATTGTCAATGGAGAAATTGTCTCATCCTTTGGTCACGCAAGCCCATCAAGACGCACTGCGTACCGAACTTTCGCTGTCTAGTCCTAATGACACTGAGCTTCATTGGAATAGGATCTCGGCCGCCATTCACGACGCGGGAGCATCTGTTCGTGGTACTATCAATCGTCGCCGCACCAGTCACTGGATGTCCGAGAGGTCGATGAACCTGTTGGAATCCAGCAGCAAAACCCCAGCTGGCTCTGCGCACAAGCTGACCAGACGGACTATTAGTCGCGAATTAAAACGCAGCCCACATGCTGACAAGGAAGCCTAGTGGACCAGTCGGGCACAAGAAATGGAGGAAGCGGCAATTACCGCAAGTTCTTCCAGCTGATCCGCAGCACCGGTATCAGGAAACCAGGCAGCAGTGAGACAACCAGAGACAGCGCAGGTGCAATGCTACACAATAAGAAGCGCCGTATGACCAATTGGGCGGAGCACTTTCAAGAACAGCTCAGCTGGCCCCCTGCTCCCGGACCTCTTTCTTCTTAGCTGATACGGGACGAGCCATGGAGAGTTAGTTTAGAGGCTCCGTCGGAGGTCGAGGTCCGGAACGCGATTACAGTGCTCAATGCTTTTCGTGCCGCTGGCACGGATTTCCTCCCACCTACACTATTTAAGGATGGTGCTGAGGTCCTCTGCAAAACACTGTCCTCCCTATTCGAACCTATTTGGAATAAAGAGAATGTCCCGGCTAACTGGAGCGAAGCGATTTTGGGGACAATATACAAGTAGGGCAGTAGCACAGACTGTTCTAACCACAGGGGTATTAGTCTAACGACAGTTGTGACAATCTTACTGGCCTCGATTCTCGTTTGTCGCCTTACTGTGGAACGGGAATCTCGGATTGGGGAAGAGTAGGTCGGTTTTCGCCCAGGACCTGGCTGTATAAACCATATATTGACTGCGGCACGTGCTGGAGCAGCACCATGCATACCGCAGACCGACAATAGCTGTGTTCCTTGATTTCAAAAGTGCGTTCGATTCAGTTGATCGATCGGTTCTCTTCGAAATACTTGCGCGGAATGTTGTTCTCACGAAATATGTGAACATTCTACGTGCTTTATACTCGAACACTACAGGCCGCGTCAGAGTCTACGGTGGCCTGTCGGATAGCCTTCCGACCACAAGTAGCGTTCGTCTGGATTGTCCGATTTCCCCGTTTTTGTTCAAGTTCGTCGTGGATTCTACCATGGAGTATCCCCTTTCGGAACCTCACGATATAGGCATTGAAGTGCTACCTGGTGAGAGATTAGTTGATCTTGATTATTCGGACGATATCGTATTGCTTTTCGACGATGTTGGGACGGCACTATTAACCGTGAATAGCCTGTCTAGAGTGCTGCCAATATTTGGTATGCGCTTCGCGCCTATACAGTGCAAAGTGTTGCTGCAGGACCACCAGTCACTCGATGACCCCTTGACGCTTGCTAACGAGGAACTCGAGGTAGTTGATCAATTCACTTACCTTGGCAGCTGCGTCAGCAACGACGGGCGCATAGAAACTGAAGTCAGTTCACGCATTGCAAAAACCAGAACTGCCTAATTTTACCTGCAGCATCCTTGGCGACAGAAGGGAATTTCTCTCAGTCTGAAAGACCGTGTGTACAAGACCACAGTGAGGGCCGTGCTGCTCTATGGTACTGAGACTTGGTCCCTTCGGTCTGAAGATCCGAGGCGCCTTCAGGTCTTCGAGTATAATTGTCTGCGGAGCATTGCTGGTGCCCGTTGGCATCAGCGTGTCCGCAATGATGATGTGCGTAGGCGAGTACTAGGTAGTGATAATCATGCTAGCTCCCTACAACAACAAATAGCACTAAGTAAGTTGCGTTGGTTTGAGCACCTGCTACGTGTGCCTGGTCACCGCTTACCGCTTGTTTACTTTGCCAGATGTAGCGTGGCTCAAGTCTCGAGATGGACAGAAGTTGACTTGGCAGCTGGAAATGAAGTCACTGACGACCAAACTGGGTGCGTTAGTCCGTCTCGCCTTCCGGGCTGGAGTCGACGTGACTCGTCTTGTGCTTAGCTCGAGACTTTACAGGACATGGCTCGCAGTCGACATCAGTGGCGCGTCTGATGCCATTTCTTAGTCGGATTGCCTGTTTGAAGTGTGTTTGGTGCTGAGTTATCTGCGAGGTAATTGATGATTATGCTGCGGGGCAGTGAAAGCCGCGAGGAAGCTGTCTCGCTGATGCCGCCTTATCTTTGCACGATAGCCAGCTGTTTGTGACGGTAGGTTGTTAACACAAGGTGTAGGCGCCTTGATGCTGAATGTTTGCTTAGGGCGTTAAGGTAAGTCCTCCTCCTCTTCCGCTTATTATTCTTTATTCCATTGGTCATCATGGTTATGTGGCAGCGAAGCAGCAGTCGAAGTGGCTGATGAGTGGTTGTTGTTGTTGCTGCTGCTGCTGCTGTTGTTGTTGTTGTATACTTTTTGTTTACTCTATACCTATTTATGCGACAGTTGCTAATATATGTACGTTCAGGATCCAATTACAGTGAATGACTTTTGCATTATCTTGAAGTTGGGTAATTCATTCATAAATCAGAAACGGATCTCCATTCCTGAAAACAGCTGGAATAATTTCGTCGGAACTTTACGATTTGTGATGCATCGGAAGACGAAACTCGTAGAAAATCTCAGCCTCGGATTGCTGAGCGATGCTCACCCATCAAGCTCACGAACTGGAAGTGGTTGAGCGTCCGTTCGATTACGGTTTCGGTTGACTGAATTGCGAAAAGTCCGAAATCAATTTGTCGTCAACAAACACCTTCATTTGAATCTCCCTTTTGGTGTATGAGCGCAGCAGCAATCGAGTAAACCACAAAGACTTGAGACGAACACAATGGGAAGTAACTGTGGTTTTAAAAAAGCCGCTTTCAGCCAACAGTTGTCAGACATAGGTAGAAACAAAAGCTGTAGTGTGGAGTTCTATCAGATTACTTTCAGCCAAATTTATTTGCCTCGTCCGCGTGTGTGATGAAAATGGAGCATTTATTAGTTGTATTAATGAGACTGATATTATTATTCTTAGCATAGAAGGAAAGTTGTTATGAAGAAGCCCTGTGGGACGGCTGTCTGAGTGGGTCTATTTGTGACGAATTTCTATCTAGACCATTTAACTCCCCCTACTAATCCTCTGTAAAACCATTTGACCTGACGGAAGTTCACACCGCTGGATTGGGTGCAAATATATGATTCTTCCACTTCTCATTAGCGTCCATTTTCCCATCTAAGTTCCGACTTCGCAAGTCGTAACGCACTTTGTCTCTGTACGCTATATTGACCGTAAGTGAGCTGAACGAAGCACACCTGTCATGGTATGCATATGAGATGATTGCTAATTTAAGTCACTTCGAGTGGGCGGCAACCCGAAAAACCCATAGATTTGCGTGTGAGCTCTGCTTTGCGTTGCTAAAGAATCATAGTTAGCTATAAACCCATCGAAACTTTCAAATGACCATCTGCCAGCTTGGCGCTTGAACTTTTCACGCACTGGCCGGATAAATATGTTTGCGTAGCAGTACGTTAGCCCGAAACGGAGATTAAAGAGGATAAGACAAGCTAATGAGTTTAAAAGATCCAAGAAATTTTAATCCATCCTAGCCCATTCAGTGGTCCATAACACATTCTCAAGTACCTAATTATCATTATAAAAAAGGTCTTGTAGGGAACAGATTTTCATACAACACTTTCATTGGGATTCACTTTCGTCGCAGGACGCCTACACACGACCGAACATTTCGTACAACTACACGAACTTCCTTCTGATTACCTCCGTTAATTAGTACTTTACGCTCAAGGTACAACCCAGAAACGAATAAGTCTTACACTTGTGATTGTTTAAGAAAGAAATTTGAAAGCTATATGGCAAGTGTAGTCAAGCTCACTACTAGGGCGGCAAAATGAGCAGGCTAGAAGTTATGTAACATTCCGACAATTCGTAAGCGTTGTTACCTTGAGCTACGCAGCATACGGTTGCTGCCGAGCCTTCTCTTTCAGGAACGATGAAGTAGCCAAAATAGATATCCACTGCGCGACGTAGCACAATTTTTCCAATGTCAAACATAACTTCAAACCACGCGTTTTCAGGTCTACTTTGTGAACTATCAAAAAAGTAAAGTCTGAGGTACAAAAATATCCGCTAAAGTTGTTCAATCTTGTGCTTTCATGCTCCGGGATTTTGTACTTAGTGGCACCTAACAATAATAAGGAGTTTTGTACTTCCCGGTTGGCCAATCTGACTAACTGCAAACGTGAGATTCTATTTGACAAACCTGAGAATGATATGTTGCGTTAATTTGCATACGAAATCGACCGATTACATTGTGGTTAAACATATGTTCGGCTGCATTGGTTTCTTTTGCGTCAGTAGACAACAAACGCCAATTAGCCTCCACAATGTGATGAAGCTGTTGTGTCTAGAGTTGGTGATACACATAAGCTTGAATTGCTCACCTCCACGAAAGACAACACGCCCCCCGCCTCTTTTGACAGCGTCCTCCATGTCGCTCAGCATATAAGTAGGAGTATCGCGTCCAACGTTATGCTGGGCAGAAGCTAATTCCAAGCCGTTCGGATCATTGTTAGAATTCACACATGCGCTTTCCTCTTGAAAGTCTGCCGAGAGTGGAGGTGGAACGGAAGCTCCGTCACCTTCGGCTGCTCCAAGTAAAGTGAAGATGATTCCAGCTTGCGAGTTCACCCCAACAGCCGTAATGACCATTTTTCCAGAGCCCTCCATGACGTGGGTACCTCAAAAGAAGAGCAGGGCAATCATAGTTCACCATATCTACAAGGTCATTATAATGATATGTTATAAACTTAACATGAGTATGCTGGTGGGAGCATGGAAGTGACGACCGCCGTTTACAGACCTCAGCTTGTGATGAAAACTGCACCCATCAAAACACCAACCTCTGTCACTTCGGCTATGGATTGTGGACACGGGATACAAGCATACATCTTGAACGCCGCAAAAACTCTATATGGTCAACTGCCGAGCCTGAGAAGTTATCGTAGTAGGTGGGCACGGAAAACATATGGTTGGCAGCATCCAGTTCCGGATTTGTCTGTCAATGTGGCCTCCATAGGACAGTCACAGGAAGTCTACGCCGACAGAGGGACCATGGGTGGCTTGCGCTGCACCATCCACAGCTCCATCCACACACCCCATATCGAGTGTAAACCCAAAGGAACAAGAGGCAGGGAGGCATGTGGATGGGGAGCCACGTGTCATCAATGGAGCCCGCTCACACTCCTTCAACTTACACAGCAGCAGCATTCCAGTCTATCTATGTAGGGAACCATACATACCAAACGTACACAAGGCGGTGGCTGGGCCGTAGTCTGCTCCACATTGGATGGAACCACTCTTTGAGCCTAACACGACCACGATGACCATGCGCCCCCCCCCCAGCAACGATTCACAGTCTCCTGGATCAAACAATCGAGGGTGTGTTAAACAGGTAGGCACCTAGTCAACATTCACATCAAGCGCAGCCACACTGGGGATTTCAAACAACCAACCTGGAATTTGAGGGAAAGCAAACAAGCAAAATGGACAGTGCAGATGCAGCAGAATAACAGAACTGGACCAACCAAATAAAGTGGATCGATTTTTCTTCAGATTAAAAAGATCGAGTTTAAGTGCAAGTTGGTTTAGCCCAACTGCAGTGGAGTAACATCATGATTGCAACACCAAGCTCAACATGAGGCACACTGAGAATAAAATTAACAGACTTATGCAAATTAATAGTTACAGTGCCCTCAATAAATGCAAATGTACCGCATTACTACGGATCGAAACCCAGCCAAAAGATTAAGAGCGAAGGCAAAACCTAAAAATGAGCTAATCTACAACTTGGCATTTCTAGTCACTCAGGAAGTGTAACGGATTTGCGGAGACTTGTTGGCGTTAACTTAGGCGAAAGTTACGCCAAACCTGGGCACGACTCCTATGCACACGCATATTCCGGTGACACGCTGAATCCTCGAAAACAGACAACTATACGCACATGACGCGCGAGACTTAGACGCACACGAGCACGTGACCACACGGTTCCCAACCATCCGCAAGAGAAGACGACCCAGACCACTGCGGGTATTTTACGACCCACAATGGCTGAATCACAGTTGGAACAATGCTTCATTTTGTGGGTGAAATGAATCACTACGTATGGCTGGTGGTTTTCGAAAGAACAATGTCCACTTGCGCTCCGATTCCGAATGGCTGTATTCTGCTACGCTGTGAGCAGGAGTTGAACTCTGCTTCTCGCAGCCCACGCACTGAATTTTACGGGGCATTTTCGCGAGGTCACTTGACGTACCCGCAACCCTTCCCATTGAAGATAATGTGTACCGCTTCTGACGAGGACTGACCTGGAAGGATTTCGGTGACCTGCGGATTCGTCCTGTTTGTCGGCAATTCATGTTCTCCAAACGTAGCAGCGAGTGGACGGTTTCGACCGTGGTCACCCGTTGTGTAGCCATTCCGAAGGTATCCAACAAGATGTGCAGCGGCAGGTGCACAGGAAGACTGGCTGGCGTGGATGGTTCTCCGGGTCCCGGTCGAAGTTGATTGCGATGGCGGACCCACATGTCATCACCCTCCGAGACATCATACAGCATGTCGCCTCGCCTGGCCGTCACTGTTGCTTTGATCCAGCGCTGATGACCTGCCCGATAGTCGCGAGCGTATACCGGGGCTCAAACGGCGAATTCTTTGTGCTTGCTGCAGGCACCAGAGTGACTAGGTGGCTTCTCAGTCGGAATGAGCGCTTCGTTGGTGGTGCGTAGCTTGAGGCCTATCGATGCTTCGGACAGAGACTGGCATACTGGAGCGTCTGAATTTGGTGTGACCTGATAAGAGAGCAAAGACGCTTGAAGGCATTCATACACAGTCCCTTCCCCACGAGAGTTCAAGAGTATCCTCTTGAAAGTATCAACAAAAGCCTCACCGCCTGACTATTGGAGTGGGGACGGAAGGGCGGTGAGCGTACATGTTGGATGCAATACCGACGACAAAAGCCTTCGAACATGGAAGACGTAAACTGGGAGCCATTTTGTCGGACACCAGAACGTCGGGAAGGCCATGTTGACTTAAGATTCGTTGTAGACAACCCAGCGTGGTGGATGCGTTTGATGGGTTGATGGCGCCCACTTCTGGCCAGTTGGAATGGACGTCGACCTCGACCAGGTAGGAAATGCCATCGATCGGACCAACACAGTCCATGTGCACTCTCGACTACAGTTTTGCTGTCGGCTGCCAAGGAACTGTTGGTTGGGGTAGTGGCATCTTGGATGCTTGTTGATATCTTGAGCAACAGCGAACCAAATCTTCAATGTCGTTGTCAATGCCAGGCCAGTAGGCATAACTGCGGGCGATTGCCTTCATTCTGTTCATGCCAGGGCGGACAGAATGGATCTAGCGGAGTATAGCTTGACGGAGGCAAGAAGGAACCACCACTTGATCGGCAGTCATGATACAGTTGTTTGAGTTCACCAGACAAGGCAGTGATTGGCCAGCGTGTCTGAACGTAACTGACAGCTTTCTGCAGGATAGGGTCTTAAGCAGTTGCGCGACGCATGTCTGTGACAGTAATGGGGAGACTTCGGATAGCGTACTTGAGTTAATGAGAAACGTCGTCCTCGATGGTAAAAGTCGCGACCACCGTGTCTTCTTCTGTGGTATGTTTGGTAATGAGGCGAGAGAGTCCGTCGGTTTAACTGAAACCTTGAGAACGGCAGTAGCGGATTTCGAAGTTATAACCAAGAAGGATGACGGCCTAACGCTGAAGTCGGCTAGCCGAGTATGCGGGAATATCCTTCTTTGAACTGAAGAGTAAGAGTAGTGGCTTGTGATTGGTCAATAGCATGAACCACCGGCCGTACCGCATAGTGTGGAACATGGTGACAGCAAACACAATGGCCAGTGCTTCCTTCTCAATCTCACCATAGTGCTTCTCCGCAGGCGTCATGGTAGGTGAGACGTGCATAACCGCTTTTTCTGAACCATTTGGGTAGCGATGGGAGAGAACTGCTCTGATCCCGTAGGCAGTGGCATCAACAGCGAACAAACTCGGCAATGTTGGGTTATAATGGGTCAGCAGTAGGTCAGAATTCAGCATGGGTCTCAGACAAACGAATGCTTCGCATGCGGAGGACCAGTGCCAAGGAATGTCTTTCTGCAACAACCGATTGCGCGAGGCTTGAACAGCGTATAGAGGTGGCAGGAAGGCGCCGTAGTAGCTGATGAGACTCAGGAAGGACCGCAGGTTTGACACATCCGCTGGAGCCAGTATCTGCTAGATGGCTCTGAGGTTCTCAGGACTAGGATGGCGGCTACTGGCATTGAAAACGTAGCCAAGGTTTTGGTCGATGGAAGAAAGCATTGACATTCCTCGGCTTGCAAGCGGAAACTATACGCCTGGACTCGCTGAAGGACCGCAACCAAGCGCTCTCGAATCTCTTCTGGGGTGCGACCAACAATGAGTAGATGGTCCAGGTATGCGGCCGTATCCGGAATGCCAGAGATCATGACGCCCATCGTCTGCTGGAAAATGGCCGGAGCAGTTTTGACACCAAACGGAAGCCTGGTGTATTGAAAAGACCACGATGTATGTTGATCGTCGAAAGGTCTTGTGACTCGGCAGTGACTTCGATCTGCAGGTAGACGTCTGCCAGGTCGATTTTGGCGAAACACGTACCATTGTTGAGTAGTGTGAAGTGGTCTGCCGGGATCGGTACTGGGTGGCAATTTGGCTCTAGCGCAGCGTTGTCTTGGAACGTAGTCAGCAGGCTCGGGGAGCTGTCAAGCGGACCATGTTTTGGTTTATGTCTGAATCGGGACCACTTCTTTGGATCGCGGGTAGGGGTGAACTCAGGTTTGGCCCGCTTGGGAGTTGTAGGATGGTAGTAACCATCCCGGTGCTCCACCCTGCCAAACGTTGGGATCGACGCCTGTGGTAATTGCAGTCCCAGTAGAAATACCAGGCACCACAGAATCGGCACGCGTAGGGTGGGAACTTCTCACGGTCGGATTGGGTCGGGTGCACGGAAGATTGCGTCCTAGGTGCTGCGACTGCCTAAACCAGACCAAGTGCGGCGGCGCTCTGGAGCATGGCACGGTCTGCTTCAGATTCAGCAGCGTTTGACCCTCCTCGGCCAGGTTCTGGAGTGTGACAATGGTATTCTGTTGTGGCTTGGATAGGAGGCGCGTCAAGATGTCAGCATTGTGTGTAGACTAGAGAATGGAGACGAAGATCAAGCATTTGAGTTGGTACTTTGTAAGTAAACCAAGTTGAAGACGCTCGCATTCAAGGTTGACCACGCCTGCGTATGTAATGCAGTTGTCGGCATCACGTTTGACCAGCTGCAGACAATGAAAACGGGCGCTGAACAGAGTGGACTGCTCGTCAAAACTCTGGGACAAGGTTCGGACAGTCTCGTTGAAGGTAAGGTCTCGTGGTTGCTTCAGCAAGATGAAATTGGCATAGCGTTGGTGTTCGAGCGTAGCCAGTTTGCGTAGAAGCAGCCGGACCTTCCACGCATCATCATGGTAGGGCAGGTCAACGGTGAACAGGTCCTCGTACCGCTTATACCAAGAATCGAACGTCACTACAACCTTGGCCTCGTACAGGAATTCACTGATGCCGCTAACAACATAGTTCACTGATTGAGGAATGCCAATCGGACTTCCGTGAAGGGAGGAAATGGAAACTTTGTCGGTTAGCACGGACGGCAATTTGAGTTGT